TTGATGCTATGCTTAGGATTGGACAAAAACATTACAGTATAAAACTGAACTTCATGTCAAAATAAATGTCCATTAGTCTCACGTGGAATTCTCATCTCGTCACATTTTCATTGACTAAAATGAAAAGTAACTTGTCATAGTTTTTTCTAGGGCCTCTCGTCTCGTTATTGTCATAGTTTTTGTCAGGAAAATAGGTAGTTGACAAGTGTTTTTCCTCATAGTTATTGTTGACGAAATTACACTATGTGCAAGGTAGGAAACAGGAGAAACACTTTACACATCAATAACACTACTGAATGAACACAGTGGGAGGAAAGGAAGAGAGAGATTGAGAAAGAGAGGAGCAGATACATGAAGGGACAGGGGAGCGGCTGGGGATAGAGAGAGAGAAGAGGAGAGGTGAAGAGAGAGCAAGAGAGAGAGAGAGAGAGAGGGAGCTCTTGCTGAACTGAAACGTGTCAGGCCAATGTCACTATTGCACAGTACGTCCCTGATCTCAGTTGACACATGCATGAATTCTACTACTAATTTTGCTGTTTATTGCTGTCATGTCAGAGTACTATCTCTATGGCTGCTCATTACAAATTTGGTATTTTGCTTTTCATGCATATACATTTACAAAATGCTAATATTACATTTACAAAATGCTGCTTGACATTCACATATAACATGCTTGTCATGCATATAATATACACTATATGGCCAAAAGCATGTGGACACCTGCTCGTCGAACATCTCATTCCATAATCACGGGCATTAATATGGAGTTGGTCCCCCCTTTGCTGCTATAACAGCCTCCACTCTTCTGGGAAGGCTTTCCACTAGATGTTGGAACATTGCTGCGGGGACTTGCTTCCATTCAGCCACAAGAGCATTAGTGAGGTTGGGCACTGATGTTGGGCGATTAGGCCTGGCTCGCAGTCAGCGTTCCAATTCATCACAAAGGTGTTCGATGGGGTTGAGGTCAGGGCTCTGTGCAGGCCAGTCAAGTTCTTCCACACCGATCTCGACAAACCATTTCTGTATGGACCTCGCTTTGTGCACAGGGGCATTGTCATGCTGAAACAGGAAAGGGCCTTCCCCAAACTGTTGCCACAAAGTTGAAGGCACAGAATTGTCTAGAATGTCATTGTATGCTGTAGCGTTAAGATTTTCCTTCACTGGAACTAAGGGGCCTAACCCGAAACATGAAAAACAGTCTCAGGCCATTATTCCTCCTCCACCAAACTTTACCGTTGGCACTATGCATTTGGGCAGGTAGTGTTCTCCTGGCATCCACCAAACCCAGATTCGTCCGTCGGACTGCCAAATGGTGAAGCGTAATTCATCACTCCAGATAACGCGTTTCCACTGCTCCGGAGTCCAATGGCGGCGAGCTTTACACCACTCCAACCGACGCTTGGCATTGCGCATGGTGATCTTAGGCTTGTGTGCGGCTGCTCGGCCATGGAAACCCATTTCATGAAGCTCCCGACGAACAGTTATTGTGCTGAAGTTGCTTTCAAAGGCAGTTTGGAACTGTTGCAACAGAGGACAGAAATGTTTACGCGCATTGCGCTTCAGCACTCAGCGGTCCCGTTCTTTGAGCTTGTGTGGCCTACCACTTCGCGGCTGAGCCGTTGTTGCTCCTAGACTTTTCCACTTCATAATAACAGCACTTACAGTTGCCCATGGGGCAGCTCTAACAAGGTAGAAGTTTGACGAACTGACTTGTTGGAAAGGTGGCATCCAATGACGGTGCCACGTTGAAAGTCACTGAGCTCTTCAGTACGGGCCATTCTACTGCCAACGTTTGTCTATGGAGATGACTCAACGTGACTTCCGTACTACGTGACTTCCGTCTCGCTTCCGCATTGTCTCCGTGCTGCTGTGCTGTTTGTTGCTACTTGGCTACCTGCCAAACTATTCACGTTTTACTTTTAATAAACGTTTAATCAATCTCTGTGTTCAACAAATTTACCAACTTTTTAGTTTTGTCCTCACTCATCTTTTTTCGTTAAACTTTTTCACCCCGGACGTTTTATCCCGTTTTATCCCGAGACAGAAGAGTCATTTTCCTGTGCGTTTTAGCTGCCAACTTTACTTTATTTTCCTTTTTTCCATCGCAACTTTTTTCCCTTATTCAACTTTTTCACTCCGGACGCTTTATCTGGACATGGTTCGTCAACATCTTCAACAGCCGAAGCTAAGTAGTAACATTAACATGATGTCTTTAATTGCAGTCGCTGTACTCATAATATACAGGAGAACGATCGCCTTACGGCCGAGAATAGCTGTGCTACAAGCCCAGCTTCAGACGCAATCGTTAGGCAAGGGTAATTTCAGTGTAGGAAAGGAAGAAACAGCGTCTGTGCCACCAGTAAGTACAGACAGTAACGTTAATATAAATCCCCCCGCACAGTCCCCGCAGCCGGACAACTTTCTCATGGCTTCTGGAGGGAAATACTGTTGGAATGCTCAACCGGTGTCGCTCATTCAGCCGACAGAAACCTTCAACCGGTTTTCCCCATTATGTAGCGAGTCGGAGTCTGAGTCTGAGTCTTCTCTTGTCTCTACTCCTCCCGTTACGGGGTCTGAGACGCCGAAGGCTCCCACCATTAGCTCTGACAAATTGAAAACCCTAGTCATTGGCGACTCCATTACCCGCAGTATTAGACTTAAAACGAATCACCCAGCGATCATACACTGTTTACCAGGGGGCAGGGCTACCGACGTTAAGGCTAATCTAAAGATGGTGCTGGCTAAAGCTAAAACTGGCGAGTGTAGAGAGTATAGAGATATTGTTATCCACGTCGGCACCAACGATGTTAGGATGAAACAGTCAGAGGTCACCAAGTGCAACATAGCTTCAGCGTGTAAATCAGCTAGAAAGATGTGTCGGCATCGAGTAATTGTCTCTGGCCCCCTCCCAGTTAGGGGAAGTGACGAGCTCTACAGCAGAGTCTCAGCACTCAATCGCTGGTTGAAAACTGTTTTCTGCCCCTCCCAAAAGATAACATTTGTGGATAATTGGCCCTCTTTCTGGGACTCACCCACAAACAGGACCAAGCCTGACCTGCTGAGGAGTGACGGACTCCATCCTAGCTGGAGGGGTGCTCTCCTCTTATCTACCAACATAGATAGGGCCCTAACTCCTCTAGCCCCACAGTGAAATAGGGTGCAGGCCAGGCAGCAGGCTGTTAGCCAACCTGCCAGCTTAGTGGAGTCTGCCAATAGCATAGTCAGTGTAGTCAG